AATATCCTTAAAGACTGTTGAAACGAGCTACATTTAGATTCAGCATGTGCTGTGCTCTCTGCAGCTTTACAAGTATAAGTGGGTGTAGATGTTGGATATGGACTGACTTTTATACAGACCCACTGTTGGGTATTTCCATTTTTTCAGTAAACTGGGTACAGAAACACACTCAGAGCGTGTGCTGGTCACGTGTCCTGTGGTATGGCTGCATCCATGGGCTCAGAATAAGATAGGAGATAGGCATGAACTTGTTCATCACCAGGCAGGATGACAATAGAGAAGCTCAATAACATTGTTTGCTTCATGTAGCATTCCTATCAATCTTGATGAGCTTTTATAAACCTCTCTGTCTTTTTTGCCCTCCTGTCTGCATGTTTGTCCTTATCTTCTTGTTTCTCTGTAAGGTGACCAGTACAGACACCTGTTTTCTGTACAGACATCTGTTCTTTATTACTATTATTGTCCTTATTATTTTAATATTATTGTTTTGTTTACTCTTATTGTTGCCTGCTGCTAAACTAAACTAATTTCCCCTTGTGGGACAATAAAGAATTTGTTTTGAATTGAATTGAATTGAATTTGGTCTATATATTTGTGAGGAGCTGGGCTTCTGTGCTTAGGCTCCTAGAAGAAGTGGAAGAAAATGCATTCATGGTTTATTGTTTTGTTTTTATTTTAGAATTTAACTTTCATTGACATGGTTGATATGAACTGTAGAACACTCTGCATTGCCCACTTTACATTGCATCACACTGTACTTCTTCTACAGAGTATAATGTGCAAAGTTGATAATGCACAATACGAGGTGCCACATTAAACAGCATTTAAAGTATGGTTGATTACTTTAGAATGTGATTAATGGTTTAACACAGACGAATCTTTAGTCAGCAGACTAACAGCTCACAGCTCCTCTCAGCGACCACTGACCCACTGTAACCAGAAGAGGGCAGCAGTGCCAAGGAAGAAGAGATGAGATGTCCCATGTTTAATTATATTTGTTTCTTAAATGCCTACTCACTTTCTACAGAATTTGTTATCACCACAC